GCTGTCTTTGACATGCCATCTTAGATTTATTATTCCCAGGTATTTGATTCTTTTAATGATACTGTAAATGGGAATCTTTAAAAAAAAAAAATTCCTAACTACTTCATGTTACCAGATAGAAATCAGTTGCTTTTGGTATACTGATCTTATATTTGAAAACTTGCTAACAATTTGGAGGTTCTTCCTGATTTTCTAGATAATTTCTTGCTAATTCCTATACGGTTTCTGTTCTCTTGTTTCCCTGCTCTGGCTAGGACCGCTGGTTGATAGTGGCCAGGAGTGGTGCTGGCAGCTAATTGTGTTGTTCAATTCTTTCATTCTCTATTTCAAAGGAAAACTTTCAACATTTTGTCATTATGTCTGATGTTTGTTATAGCCTTGTAGATTTACCTTATCAGGCTAGTAAGTTGTCCTTTATTTCCACTTTGCTAAGTGATTTTTGTTTGCATATTTTAATAACGAGTGGATATTGAATTTTATTGCTTTTTCTTTATTAACATAATCACATAAATGCTCTCTTTGTTTTGTTAGTGTGAATTAGGTTGATTGAAGTTTGAATGTTAAACTAACCTTGTTTTCTTGGAGTAAATCCAATTTGATCTAATGCATTATCCCTTCATCCATTGCTGATTCCGTTTTCTAACAGTTTGTTTCGTACTTTTACTTCTGTGTTCTGGTGAGGTTGGCCTAGACTCTTTCTGATCCTGTACTTGTGTAGTACATTATGATTTGGTTGGCCTCATAAAGCAAGTTGGTAAGCATTGCTTTGCCTTGATTCTCTAGAAGAATTTGTATAAGATGGGTTCTTCTTTCCTTCTTAATGTTTGGCAGACTTCACCATTGAAGCTACCTCAGTCTGTGAACACTTTTAATTGCCGGGGACTTTGCATTGCAATTAAATTTATTAAATATATTTTTGATGTTTTTCGCATGTCCATTTTTGTAAGTTGTGTTTCTCCTAGGAATTTTCAAGTGTGTTGGCATAATGCTGTTTAAAATATGCTCTCACCGTCTCCATGGTGTCTGGGAGATGCGGCCAGACGTGCCCTTCCTTCTTGACGCTGGCACCTTCTCTTCCTTTTTTTCTTAGTTTTGCCAAGGATTCATCACATTTTAAATTCTGTTCAAGGAACCAGTGTTTAGTTCTATTTATCCTTTTTATTTCAGGTTTGCTTCTATTTCATTTATTCTTGCCTTTATCCTTCTACTTTTCTTCCTCCTACCTTTTTAGGTTTTAATTTGTATTTTCTCCCCCTAACTTGTTGGATGGTTACTTACACATGGATTTTTTTTAAATCTTTTCTTATTTCTAATAAATGCGTTTAAACCATAAATCTAAGCATTGCTTTAGTTGCATTATACATGCTTTTAGTATGTTCTTATTATCTTGCAGCTAAAATATTTTCACTATTAGATGCGAGTAACCTTTTGACTTACAAATTATTTGAAAGCGTATTTTTAAAATATATAAAGCAAATTTTCTTACCTTTTAACAATTGATCTCTAGCTTAAGTCTTCTGTCAGTATATATTTATAGTTTTAGTTTTTGAAATTTATTGAGGCTTTTTTTGACATTTATATTTTTTTATGCATGCAAGAACTGGGGTATAGGCCAGATGTATGGGGGATGAGAGGATTCACCAGAGACAGAGTGGGGAGCAGAACAGGTGGATTGACTGAAATACACTGCTGAGGGGAGCAGTGGGCAAGACAGGAGAGGTCTGCTGCGCCACGTGGGTCATCTCCCTGGCCGGGGATTGAACTAGTGCTGCAGTGGCTGGTGATAGCTTGGTAGTGCTGAGACTTAACCCCAGGGAGGTCCAATTATTGAGGCTTGTTTTTGCAAATGTCCCACAAAGACTGGAAAATACTTATATTCTTCAGCTTGGGGATACAGTGTTCTGTTTGTCTTTTGGTTAAAGCTTTACTTTGTGTTGTTAAAATATCTCATATTCATACTCACTTTGGGGGCTGCTTTTTGATCAGCTACTGGAAGAAAGGAATTAAAATTCTACTATGATTTTGGCTTATCTATTATATTTCTCCTCCCAGTTGTTGCTTTAATATTTTGTGCCTGGTGCATATAAATTTAGAATTGCTATTTTCTGCCTATGGATTGCAACCTCAATCGTTATGAAATGTTTCTTTTCCCTAGTCATCGCTTTACCTGAGAGTCCACATTGTCTCATAATAACATAGCTTCAGAAGTTTCTTTTGGGTTGAAATGTGCATAGGTTATTTTTTCCCATTCTTTTTACTTTCAGCATTTCTGTAGCTTATGTGTTAGGTGTGTCTCTTAAAATCAGCAAATAGTGAGGATTTTAAAAATCCAGTCTGACAAACCTTTGTCTTTTAGTTGGAACATCTGGCATATTTACATGTAATACAATAGTTGCTATATTTGGTTTAAATCTACTATCTTACCATATGCTTTCTATTTCCCTGCCTGCTCTACCTTTTGAGTTTCTAATTTTCTTGCATACTTTCGAGTAGGTTTGTGAAGGTATAATTAAGAAGGCAACACTGTGATCTAACACGTACAGTTCTTTGGGTTTTGACAAGTTACACCCTCTAATCTCCACATAAATCAAGATAGAGAACATCACCCCAGAAAGTCCCCTCATGTCTCTTACCATCCACTCTCCTTGCACCACCACAAAGAACCTCATGACCTCTCAGAAGAACAAATTTCTGTCAACATAGTCAGGCTTGTTCTTGAATTCCACTTCTTAAGTGATACTCTTTGGTGCCTGGCTGCTTTCACTGGACATGCTGGTTTTGAGAGTCACATTTGCACTGGTCATTTCCTTCTTTTGTTGGACAGTATTCTATGTATCAACTACCACAATTTGTTTATCCACTCTCATACTGATGGATGTTCCCAATTTGGAGTTATTGTTATGAATAATAATAAGCACTTCTACAAGTGCCTTTGTGAACCTAAGTTTTTATTTTTACTGGACAAATACGTAGAAGTAGGATTTCATGAGTATATTTAACTTTATGAGAAGCTGCCAAATCGTTTTCCAAAGTGATTGAACCATATTATACCCATTGTATTTTTCCAGTAGCAATACATGGAAGTTCTTGCTATATCATTGGGGCTTTAATTTGCATATCCCTGACTAATGATATTGAGCATTCTTTCATATGACTTAATAGGTTCATTTGTATACTTTATTTGATGACATGACTGTTCAAGTCTTTTGTCTTATTTTTAAATTGGGTGGTTGGTCATTTTTAGACTTGTAAGAGTTCTTTATAGATGTGGATACAAGTGCTGTATGCGTTCTCTCAATCTGGGGCTTGTACTTACATTTTCTTAAAGGTATTTTTTAAAAAAGATTTGTTTATTTATGCATGCAAGAGCTGGGGTATAGGCCAGAGGTGTGTGTATGGGGTTGGGGGAGGGTGAGAAAATTCACCAGAGACAGAGTGGGGAGCAGAACAGGCGGAGCTACTGAAATACACTGCTGAGGGGAGCAGCAGGTGAGACAGGAGAGGCCTGCTGTGCCATGTGGCTTAGCTCCCTGGCCTGGGATTGAACTTGTGCTGCAATGACTGGTGATAGCTTGATAGCGCTGTGACTTTAACCCTTGTACCACCAGGGACGCCCTCTTAAAGGTACTCCTGATTAGCAAAAAGAGAAATTCAAATTTATCATTTTTTTTAGGGTATGGATTTGCATCTTGTCTAAGAAATACCTACCACAGGATCATAAAAATGTTATCCTGTATTGTCAAAGATCAATGGAATGTAAATGTGGATATAACATAGCTTTTCCTCTTAGGAGTTTACAAGTGGAGTGGGGGAACAGACAAGGTCAACGCAACGATCGTTGATGAAATTGCTTTCTGTCAGTAGTAATTGCTGTATGACAAATCTGAGGAAAAGAACCGTCATTAACCTGAATTCACATGAAATGACATATAACCAAATATCAGATAAGAGTGTCCCAGCTGAGCTGCCTTTCTTTCATACTGGCTACCAGGAAGGTCAGAGCTCAAGGTGAACCCAGTTGTTTGTAAGGTCTACTCTTTTCTTCAACATGATTTCCTTTTATCTATTTCTAATTTAGCAGTGCTCTTTATTGTAATGTTTTACATTCTTTTGAGGAGCTGGCTGGGGTGAAATTGTGAATAAGGTGTACTAATTGATCAATTCATATTGAAAACGTGATTGGGAGCAGTCTGAGTGGTTCAATTACATATTTATTTTGGCTGAGACAGTCCCTACTGAGCATGTCTTTGCACTGTAACTGCCATTACAACTCTGACTATTCAGCTGTTCTTACTACTTAGAGTTACAGCTGGTAGTTACTGTGAGCAGAGTACACCAGATACTGTGCTGAGAGCTGAAATGAACACTTTCATTTCACTTTTGCAATAATCTAGTGTTGTAGGTGTTATTTTATTCTGATTTAGAGAGGACACTGAGACTTGGTACTGCTGCAGCCCGAGGACTCAGAGACAGGACTGAAAGGAAATGTTTGGGCTCCATTCCCGAGCCAGTGAGCTTCAGCAATAGGCTCGTGGTGCTCCCAAGTCCATGGAAAAGGTGGTTTGATGGACCTCCTTGATGGTTGGGCCCTCTCTAGTCACAGGCTTTTCCTGGCAGGGCCCAGAGGTCCTGAGTCTTGCAGTGATGAGCTCACCAAGCTCTCCCCATATTTGTCATTCCCTGTTTGTGGACTGCTGTCTCCATGGACACTGGTATTCCTGGACCCTGTCTAACGAGTACATTCACAAAATAGATTGTGTTTGTGTTTACAGTGACCAGAGGGATCTGAAGAATGGGTGAAAGAGAGACAATATATTCTGGCAATTATCTCAAAAGGTGTGATAAGTGAGTGGTGATGCTCACCATACATGTCCCTGGCATCATTAAAACCCTTTTCCATGAAAATTTCTCAAACAGAAAGTAAGAACCAGTGGAGTGAGAAAGAGACAGATATATTGGATCAGAAGCAGGAAGGGAATGAACACATATGAAATGCTGGTATGTCCATTTTTTAACATCAAATTTTATTCACCATTTCTGTACAGAACTATATAATATTGGGAAAACAGCTTCAACTGCAATATATACGCATGATTCATTACCCACCACCACACTTCCACCTTGCGCACACCCCTGCTTCTCGCTCCCCTCCCTTCAGGTAACCGCTACCATTATCAGACTCTATTTTTGTTGTGTGTTGCTGTTTGTTTTCTTTAGTTATTTGTATTCCCCAAAGGAATGAAACCATCTGATGGTTATCTTCTACTTTCTGACTTATGTCACTTAACATAATCACGTCATCACCTCAAGTTCCATCCATATTGTTGGAAAAGACACTATTTTTATCTTTTTTAGTAGCTGAAGTGTTCCATTGCCTATGTACATGCAACAATTTCTTTACCTAGTCATTCGCTGATGGGGATTTCAGCGGATGCCATGTCTCGGCTATTACGAAGAACGCAGCTGAACGTGGGCGTACATAAGTGTCTTCCTATTAGTGTTCTCATGTCCTTTGGATAAATACCCACAAGTGGTATTGCTGGCATTTCCATTTTCAGCTTTTTAAGGAGTCGGCATGCCCTCTATACCCTCTTCCACAGAGGCTGCACCAGTTTCACATCCCCACCAGCAGTGAATGCATTTTCCTGTCCCTCCACATCCTCGCCAACACTTGCTCTTGGTCTTTTTTGATGTGGGCCATCAGCGCAAGTGTGAGGTGATGTCTCCTGGTGGTTTTCATCTGTATTCCCTGATAATAGTGGTGTTGAGCCTTTCCTCGTGTGCCTCTGGGCCGTCTGTACATCTTCTTTCCTTTGAGATCGTTTGACGATTTACTGATTGGGTTGTTATGGGGGCTTCTGGCCATTTATTGGCTGAGATGTGTGAGTTCTTTGTGCATTTTAGAAGTTAACCCCTTGCTGGATGCACGAGGTGCCAACATCTATGTCCAGGCTACTCATGCATTCCTCATGTAGGGCCCCCTGTCTTCCCACACGTGCTTCCCACAGGTACTATGGGAGAGGGAGGCATCTGGGGAATGGAATCCAGTGGCTTCCCCCTGTGAGTGCGTCTCGTGTGTGTCCTCTGTGGCCCTGTGTCCTCACGGATAGTAATGGAACTTGCTTTCAGTGTTGCTGCGAGGATTAAATAATACATGCAGTGCTTTGTAGGGACACGATACATGTTAAGCACTAAAATTATAACAAATGTTGAGTCTCAGAAGGGAGAATGTGGGGTGCCCTTATCCTTGGTGTGAAGGATGGGGAGAGTAATGAGAGGAGGGGGGCTGCAGGAGCCGTGAGCATTTGGGGGCACTGAGGGGATGCCTGTAGCTGGCAGTGCTTGGGCTCTGGTGGCTGGTGCCTCAAAAGTGATGACGGGGCTGTCATATTCCAAATCGAAAGTGATTTTGATAACATTTAATAGTGGTTTTCTCTTTTTAAAAAGTCTATGCTTGTCAAATAAATTATATGTGTGTCAATCTTATAGCAGCTTCATCTAGAATTTCTGCTGATTTGTCTCTGTGATTAGTTGAAATGTTATTAGTTGGATATTGTGTACCAATGCCAATTTTAGAACTTTGAAAAATTTGTTACAAGCTTTTTTTATTTTTTGGTTCTCAATGGTTGCCCTGAAACAACTGAGCTAACTCAGTACTTCATTGTGACCTGGCTACTTGGGTGTTGGATGGTAAAGGAGAACAGATCTGGGGTAACTAATGGGGTACCTAGTTTCAAGGTCCTGGGGCATTCCTGGTTTTCACTTCCTTGGCTGATGTCCCAGGGCAGGTGTCACCGGCGAGCATGGAGGAAGGGAAGCAAGCCCTGCCGAGCACGAGTGCACACATGGTCCTGTCCTGCATGGCCCTCACTGGGCTTCAGCTGGTTTCTCTTTCTGTAAAAAGAGAAAGCTGGAATTCCTGAGTTAGAGTGTTTCCCAAACTCTGTGACTTAGGGTTTTGGTGCTCATTTGCAGAAGAACCTGGCCCAGCTGGGCAAGCTGTCTGCTCCATCAGGCGGATTTGGAAATGATTCCTGAAAGAGGAAATGTGCGGCTTGCGTGGTGGCGGAGACACTTGTTGGCATGACGTCAGATGACACAGTCTGGCATGGCGGGGACTCGGTAGACAGCGTGGCTGGGGTGTAGAAGGAAGAGAGTCATGGGGAGAAGGAAGCAGAGCAAAACGGTTGGGGTCCTGAGAGGTCATCCTGGATTGACCCACGAAAGGAGAAAAGGTGCAGCCACTGAGGGGCTGTGTGGGGAGAGGGTGACATGGCCTTAAAGGACCGAGAGGAAGGTGGTGAGAGGTGTGAGTGGTCATGGGCAGGTAGGACCCCCTGGACACTAGTTTAGCCTTGAGCAGGATTCTTCTGTCCAGACCTCTGCTTTTTCATCTGCACAGCAAAGCTACTGCTCAAGGCTCCCTCTATACCCCCAACCCCTCCCACCCCCCCACCCCCACCGGGAGTGCAAGGGGCTGCTGTGCTTGGCAGTGAGTGGAGGACATGCACCTGGCTTTGGTCAACTCTTAATGAATTGTCTCTCTTTATTTGGCCAGGAAGCGTTGATAATTATAGGTGAGATAACTGGGGCTAAGTCTCTAGTCTAAAGGATGCCAGGACTGCAGGCTTACTACACTTAGGGAGTGGGGACGTGTCCTAGGGGTTGGAAGAAATGCCTGGGATAGATTCTTAAGACCTTTGAGGCCAGGGGGCCAGAACAGGAATGGCAGTCAGGACCACGACCTAATTTCCCGCCAGTCAGGGCTTAAAAACAGGAGTTGGGGTGTAGGCAGATTTAAAGAAGAAAACCAGTGTGAATTTCTTGCACACCTGAATTTATCAAGTAAGACTCATCCCCATTATTCCAACATATGGTGATATTGTGTGTAAAGAAGGAAAAAATAAATCCAGAAATGATGAATTTCAGGGAGGAGGAATAAAATTTCAATTCGAGTGTCATTCAAAAAGAGATGAGAAAGGCAAATCCCTTACAAATAACTGCATGGCCCACTTAATTCTGATTCATGTGTGATCCGTGGGGCCTCTGGTTTAGAAATCAGAACTTTAGAGAAGCAGATTTTTTTCTCTCTAGAGCAAGAACCTGAGCTCCGTACTGTGCCCTGCCTGTGGGATGGGACCAGTATGCCTTGCTTTCTAGACTCACATGGGGTAGCCTCCCCTACGCCCCTGTGCTGGGCTTGCTGGTGCCTCCCTTGATTACAAACAGTCACCATCACCCAGCTCTCGGGTTAGAGGAGCATCTGAATCTATGCGCTCAAGTAAGTGTATCAAGGAGAAACAGAAAGCCTCTGGGTGACAGAGGACAGCCTGGGGATGAGGAAGAAGCCTCATGACTATGAAAGAAACTGAGAATGGTGTAAGACTTCTATGGGGAAGGGGGGAGCTGCAAGGTGGAACCACAGGGAGAGAGCAGATGGGACCAAAGAAAGTTTGCTGCCCACTTGGGAAGTGCAGGCAGAAGGGCTGTGGACAGACTGGGCTACCTGCAGCCTGAGAAGCGGGTAAACCCCAATTCACCTTAGTAACAGATGCCCCACACTGAGCATCCCCCAGGTTCCAGGTCTTGGGGACCACAGAGTCAGAGACCCTCAATCCTAGTAGGTCATTTCTGTTTGATGATTTCCAGCCTGTGCCCCCAGAGCCCTGATGTTCTCCAGAGGTGTCCCTGGGGCTGATGTGATATGGGGGAGACCAGGATGGGGCACACCTTGGGGTAGGAGGATAGAATGAACTTCAGGACCCCCACTTTGTTCAACAAAGCTGCTGCAAACTTATCTTTTGCATATATTGTTTTTATATACACGTGAGTTAGGAAAAATGTTTATTTTACAAAAAGATTTTGAAATTAGCCTGGCAATGTGAACATATGACATAACCCAGCCAAATATGTGACCCCCGCCAAGGTGATGTCTAAAACAACTAAAGACTGTTCTGGATGACAACCTTTATAACCTAAGTCCATGCTCACCTTTTTGGCTCCATTTTGCTTGTCCAAAGACAACTTTTCCTGGCCTAGACTAGGTAGGACCAGAGGTGCCTGCCTGACAGTCCTGGAACTTTAGTTATCAGTTCATGGTGAAATGGAAACATGTAGATTGGAGCATAAAATGTGGTCCCCCATACATGGTAGGTGTTCAGTAACTGACAAAATATTTGATCACATTATTATGAGAATTAAATGATTTTATACATGTAAAGTGCTCAGCCCATAAGAAGCAGTTATGGGCTTCCTTTACAATGATTATTACAATGATTACTGTTATCAGAGATAGCTGCATATGGAGAATTCCTGAAGCTTCCAATCTTACTGTGAAAGGACAGAGGTGGGAAATAGACTTTGGCACATAGGCTGAGTCAGGGATTGAAAAGGGTCCATCTCATATTCCAGCTGACCATAGTGGCTGCCTGGAATGTGCATCAAGTATACTTCTGAGGCCTTGTGTGGCTCAGCAGGAAAGAACACTGTGATCAATTGGTAATGTCTGCTTTGGGTAGCATTGGGAGTCCTGCCAACATACATGCCATATATTAGCCTATTGGAGACTGAAGCATTGTTCTGGACAATCAATTAGGGAGCTGGTAATAAAGACCAGGTCTTACCTCCTTCATGTATGCCGATCCTCGCTTTCTCCATGTTTTACTCCCAGCACATAATTGAGACATGGCCACAGCCCAGCCCCAGCTGCCTTTTCTTCAAAAAACTTTGGCTGGCATAAATTGAGACCTGTAAATCCACCATGTGGATGACACAGGCTGCATGCCCAGCCCAGGCTCTGTGAACGACAGAAGAGGAGGGAGTTGCTTAGTGACATGACACAAAGGGTGTCTTTGATTCATCGCCCAGCTCCAGCCCCAAGTCCATGGCCAGCAGCGAGTAACGGCTGCAAATGGCCAATATAACCTCTTTCAAAATGTCACTTTGCTGTAAAATGTAAATGTTTAACATTTAAACATGAACACCGACTCCTAAAATGCCTAGTGCTGGGTGGTTTTTTTTTTTCCCATTCTTTTAGAAAATCCTTGTCCTTCCATGGTGAGCGATTTCAATGCATGATTAACGCCCCTGTACTTGTTAAATTGCTACCATCTCTTGCCCCAGATAGGGCAGCAAAGGAGCAGGGATTTGGAGCAGACTTTCTATCTTGCCTGTTAATGCTGAGTATTAGCTATATAGTACAATTCTGAGTTTATCCACTGCTCAGAGAAGTGACGAACTCTGAACATTGGCAATTTCATTTTATTTCCAATTATCTGGACTTCAAAATATAAGATTCTGTCACTGAAGGTCAAGAAAGACCGAAAACAGCAATAAAGAACATTCATTGGGAGCTCTGTCCTTTAGACCTACTCGTGGTCTAACTCTGTCTCCTGAGTCTGGGACTAAGAGACTTTAGGTAAATCAAGGTGTGGGTGATTGTTCTTGGGGACTGATTTCTCTTAAGAGTTTTCTAACAAAGGTAGGCACAATAACGGCAGCTGGGCGACCAGCATGCTCACAGCCAGGTGAGGAAGGCAGCTGGGTCACAGGGATGACTGGGCATGGGTAATGAGGATTCTGGAGTCTGCTTCAACCTAATTCTCCCAGCTTCAGTTTTCTCTAGAGCATAGTGTTTGTTGCTTTTTTCTTCGGAGGCTTGATCACAGTAGGCACTTTAGTGCCCATTTGTTTAATTAAATAAATAATGAGTCGCAAGCAAACCTAGCAGTGGCCCAAGAAATTAGGTCTAGTGCTGCAGCAAATGAATTTTACGACCTTAGATCAGTCTCTTAACCTCTGTGTACACAATTGCATGATATTCTTATTGAAGAAATGGAGGACCAGATAGGTTTCAGAGGGTTCTGTTGTTGCTTTTGATGTTGAGGTCACATTACATCAGTGATGGAGCCCAGATGAAAACTCTGCTTTTTGATTCCCAAGCTATATTTTTAATACTTTCCAGCATTGGCGTTTACACCATGTGTCACGAGCCCAGATTTCTGGTAACAAAAATATTACCAAACTTCTAAATGAAGACCCCAAATACTTCTAATATCCAACCATCATTTGTATTCATCCAGTAGCCCGCTTATTCCAGCCACTGTCAGTGTTGCAAGGTATAAAACAGGAGAAGGGTAAAGGTGATCACCCGCAACTTACCAGTAAGAAGTAGAGGAGCAGATGGGTTTGAGATGACATTGCATGAGTGATAAAGCCAAGATAGGCCCCGATCATGTGTCCTTCCCTTCATCAAAGTCTTCCCCTGTAATGAGCACAGGATCACTCATACATGATGGCTACCTCTGGGATAGCAAATATCCAGGCTAAGTTACTGGTCTTTTTCACATCTGTCTTCATTTTTTTTTTTTTTTTTTTTTTTTTTGTGACCAGCTAATCATCTTCTTCTAAAGACCATGTCTGAGACTTACCATTGCCCTTCTTACCCCCAACCCTCTCAAGTTCTACCAGCGTTCTAGGAAAAGCCACAGGGACAACAGGATCTAAAGCTATACCTCTTAAACTTGAAATTTCCAGAGAGCTTGTTAAAACACAGGTTCATGGGCCTCTCGTCCAGAGATTCAGTAGGTATGGGGTACAGCTTCACAAGTTGCATTTCTACTGAGTTCTCTGTTGATGACCATGATGTTGCCTTTGAAGTAGAAGTGGTCCAAAGCAATCTTAATCAGTGAGGAGAGATTTTGAGTTCAAGTTCAGCCTCTGTTTCCTACTGGCCTCTGGGTTGGCTGCATATGCAAAATGTTTCTATGGAGTAGGAGCAAATTATTTCCCTGCTCCTGAGGTCAACATTGCTTAAAGATGTCAGTGAGCCCAGGTATGTACAGTGGTATCCAGTCCCCTCACCACTGGAGGAATCCGTTCTGGTGGACTCGCTCCAGCCATCTAGCTGTCAGTGTTTTTGGCTAATAGCTCCTTGTAGGGGTGGTTTCCTGAGGTTCCTGTTAATCCTGCTATTTGAAGAGAGCCAAAGCGCCCACGACAGCAGTTGTAAAGCTAGTTGCTTCCGGCTTTATTAAGTTAGATTTTGCAAGGGAGATAGAGGCAGCAGAAGAAATGGCCCTGGAGGAAATGCGCCAGTATCCATGGGCAGCCCCATATTGATCTTTGCCTTTGCTGGAGCACCTGCTTCACTCTCCTGTGGCTATTTCTGGCTTATTCTAAATACCACCAGAGCAAATATCGATCCCTTTCTAGTGTGAACCCAGGTTGAGAGACCTTATTTAGGAGAAATCAGAGGCAGAAGCTCCTATCAGTCACCTCGCTGCTTATATTCATTTCCTATCTCATCCCCTTCCTCATCCTGATTTTATTCTTATTTCCATTCAGTAATCTGCGCCCAGGGAGGCTTGCCCCACACTCAGACCCAGTCCTGATTGTTCTCGGCCCATCGTGGTGCTCTCACCTCCCACATTATTTGTAATAATATAACTATGCACGTGAGTAGGTTTAGTCATGAGCACATGATACAACAATGGCCAGGAAGACTGGAGAGGAAGTCTGCTGGAGGGCTTCTGGGTAAGGTTTTCTCTTAGAGGAAAGATCTAGGAAGAGATCTTTTTCCTTTACGTGTTGACTTTTCTGATGTGATACCAGAACTTCTATAACTATTTGTGACCATGAGAGAAGCTGGTGGGAGATGACTGACAGACTGAAGATGGAAGAGACTCAAATGGCAGAATTGAGGTTCTCGAACCGCTAAATCCCCTCCTCTTGGACTTCATTTCTATAGGAAAATATTTTATAGCATGTCACTTTGAATTAGGGATTTTGGACACAGGAGAAGTGTGTGTTTATGTGTCTGCTTCTTAACCTCAGAGACCTCACTTCATTTATTAGTATTGTAAGTGTTTTGTTGAGCCAGCCACTGTATAAACATCTTTGTCATTCTTAACTTACTACATGTAATTCCCATGGACTCTTTTCATATTGTTATACATGGCAACATTTTATCTTTATGGCTGACTAATATTCCATTGCGTGGATAAAAGGCATCTCTATAATCCAGTCCTGTCAGTGGGCACTAAGGTTGTTTCCTTGCCACAATGTTGTAAATGATGCTGCAGTAAACACGGTAGAGAATCAATATTTTGAGTAAATGATGTCACCATTTCACTCTTTCCCTTCAGGATTACTGTAACTATTCAAGGCTACAGTACGGCTCCATATATGAGCTTCAATATTTTTTATTCATTTTCTGGCATTGTTTATCCCTCCATGTTATATCCTCAGTGGGATACATTTCCATTTCTTTATGTCTTCTTTTATCTGTAATTCTATTATTGTTTACTGTACCTTTGTGTTACTTAATTTAGTGCAGATGCATGTAACTGTTATTTCTTCTTGTTGTCTTAGACTCTTAATCATAATATAAAGTCCCTCTCTACTTGTGTTTGTTAAAATTGGAAATCTATTTTATCTGATGCAATATAGCTCTTCCTAACTTTTTAAAATGGCCCTTTGCTTGCAGAATTGCCTTCAACCTTTAATTCCGAGTCTGTGCTTTACTTTGGTGCTGGGCGAGTTTCCTGTAAACACAAGGTTGGATCTGGGTTTGAAATCCACTCAATCACTATCTTGTTGAATTCACTTGATTGGTGTCCCTTGATTGGTGAATTCAAGTAACATTTAAGGTGATTATGGAGACATCAGTGTTTATTGCCGTTTTGTTATGTTTAGGTCTATTTCCATTGCTTCTGTCACTTTTGTTGACTTTTATTTGAAGGCTCTGCTGATGTTGGCATATGATGGGTTATTTTTATGACCCACTGAATGGTTTGACCTCATATGCATTCTGATGAGTCACATTTTCACTCTCTTTCCTCCATGCTGTACAGTTTAGCTGTCTGTTCCTCTAGATGTGTTTTCTGGTTGTCCTTTGGCTTTTACATTTTAAAAGGACAGGTTTGTTGGGAAAAAGAGAGGCACCTGCATAGGTACAGGTGGCCAGAAAGCTGCTGTTGCTGCTTTGCTAAGAGAAAAGTTTTGTGAAAAATGCCTGTGACTGGAGGTGGTCAGGGGAGCTGCCCTTACTGTCCTACAACCGCTCTTTTGGTGCTCCGTCAGTCTGACTGGGAGCTCACGCCTTCTTTTACTTAATACTTTAGTGAAGCAACTTCCTTCTGTCTTGAATGGTAGTCTTGCAGGATAAAAGACTCTAGCTGGAAATATTTCTCTTTGATTAATTTAAACATCTGCTGCCAGTCTCTTATCCCCTGTAAGGTTAAAGTTTCCAGTGAAATGTTCACGGACAGTCTACTGGGTGCTCCTTGCAGGGGACTACATTTTTTTTTCATGATGCTTTTAATGTTCTGTCTTTGTCATTGGTTTTCAACAGTTTAATTATAATGTGTCTGGAGTGTGTCACTCTTATTTTGTTTGGAACTCTGGGCCTCTGGGACCAGGATGTCTGGTTCATTTCCCAGGTTGGGATGGTTATCACCAATTTTTTTCGTTAATTTTCTGTGCTTTGCTCTTATTCTGCAATCCCTATGTGATAGATATTGTTTCCCATTAGGTTATTCCTGAAGAACTCTTACACTATTTTTATTTGTTGAAGTCTTTTTCTCTTGGCTTTTCTTTGCCACTGTGCTTTCAAACTTGCTAATTCTCTCCACTGATTGCATTTGGCTACTGTTCAGGCGTCTATCGTATATTTTAACTTAGAGTATTTCTTTTTGATCCATCAGTTTTAACTGTAACACTCTCATTTTTCCATTCTTTGTTGTGTTATTGTTTTTGATCCTCTGTTTTCTTAATTTGGCAAGCGTAGTTATAACTGTTACCTTAAACTCATGTACAGGTATGTTCTGCAGTTATGTAGGATGGCAATTTCTCTCTTTTCTCCAACATTTGTGATATGTTTATCTTTCTTTTCATTTTCATTGTTTATGGGCTGTAATAGTTTCCCTATTTTAATAAATTTACTTTAAAAATCTGTATATAATCTTAGATCCTGGGTAAAAAAAATATATTTTTAATTTTTATAAATTTTATTTTTATATTCCCCATACAATTGCAACCCCCTTATTTTGACCCCAATCCCTCCCCTCCCGCCCCCCACCCCTCATAGAGTGTCTCTGGTTCATAGTTTTTGTTGGTTTTGATTTTCACTTTCTTATAGTTATTCATTTTCCAGGTCCCTTATTTAAGTTTTCTAGATTCCTGCTATAAGTGAGACCATCTGGTATTTTTCTTTTTCTTTCTGGCTTATTTCGCTGAGGATGATCCCTTCCAGCGCCATCCATGTTGCTACAAAAAAAGACCACTGCCTTTGTACCTATGCATATGTGTAGGGAACTGGTGCTGGTAAAAGGAAAGGTAGAAGTAACCAGTAGGGTGCTGACATGTGGCTTCATGTGAGCTCTAGTGGTCAGGTGTTCCTGTGGTCTGTAGGTACTGAGCTGTGTGGTCCTGCTCCACAGTGACCCCCTCCCCTAAGCCAACTTCTCATCCAAAGTCTTGCACAGTCTCATGCCAACTTCCAACTCTGGGCTATGACTGAGCAACAGATGCAGCACTGGGAAGGGACTGTAGTAATAAAGGGCTACAATCCATAACTGTTCTTTGCTTTTTGAGTATGGAACCTTACCCTGGGGAGTTTGCTCTTGTTGTTCAGGTCCTGGTTCTTCCAACTCTAGTTAGATGATTCACTTGTTTCCATTTTGGGTAGAGATAAGTCAGGCATTGCTCATATCACAGACTTAGGCTGAAAATAGTAGCCTCTCCTATGAGAAGGCACAAGCGATCAGATGTGGCTCTCCTGGCTGGTTCAGGCTCCAGTTGTAGACTGGGAGTAATCATCACTCTGCACCCTCGCTCCTAAATCTCTCCAGTGGTAAACCTTTTGTTCTCTATGCTGACTCTGCAACCCCTTCTCCAGTGTTGTACCCTGCTTTAAAGTCTGTGGTGTGCACATGTCCTCTGCCAGTAGGTTTTCTTCTCAAGAGTCTCTAGTCTGGCCTTCATGGGTCTTGCCTGGTCCATGCATCCTGAAGATGTTCATTTCTGGCTCCTAAGGACCCTACTTCCAGGGCTTCAGATCAACTACCTTTTCAGTAGAAGTGACCCAAAGCAATCTTACCAGTTAAGAGTGACCTTTTAAATTCAATTTTAGTTTTTTCTACTTCCTACTGGTTCTTCTCCCAGTTGGCCTCCAGGTTGTAAAATGCCTCTATAGATTAGCTGTTTTACCCTGAAGAGAGCATCTTTGGTCTTTTGAAAGTCTATAAACATTTCAAGACTTTCTGTGACCTCTTTCTTTCATGTTCTCATTGACCAAAGAACATACAAGAAAAGCAGCTTATCCCCTTTCACAACAGAGTTCAAACCCAAGCCATCCAAAGTAGACCCTGGATATAGAACTGAGTATGTGTATGGGGAGGGATCCCTGTGCCACCCAGCTCCAACTCAGGGTGCCAAAGAGTCTTCTTTGTCAGTGACCTGGCTGCTTTACCACCACACAGCCTGAATAGGTCCCATTTGCAGTTCTCTACAACCCTGTGAAATGGAGCCAGGGCATAGAACTCATAAGAAGTAGAAAATAGTTGCACAGAACCAGTCTGTAAGGCATTACTTACTCATCTCCTTTAAGGTCTCTACCCTTAAAGCTTTCATGGATCAGTGGAAGACACATGTACAAAGTTACAGGATCAGGAATCGCAGGTAGCGTTGTAGACTTCTAGTATTCATTGAACTGAACAAAAGGAATCTGGTAGTGGTGGTTTTTCAGTGATCTAAACCTCAGGAGGGGACACCATGAGTTCTTTCCCAGAAGTCTGTCTCAACTAGTCTCCAAAGTGGAAATACATACCTGACCCAGCACAAAAGAAGAGGATCTGATTTGTAATCCCTCAAATATTTACAAATCAAGGCTGCAAATAGGTTATATGCAGAACATTATATGAATAAAAAGAAAAGGGACCAAAACTGCTTGGGGATAAGGGGAATACCAATTTATATAAGACATATTAAGGTTAAAAATGAGAATTTGTTTTTTCTTTGCACAGAAAAGGATATTTGAACTGCAGTCTTGAAGGAGAACAGTGCAACAGTTTATATCAACTAGTCTGATCTGATCTCCTTGGAGAAAAGACTTCACAACTTCATCTAATGGTGAGCGAATTGCAAAAGATTTATAAAAAGTAGAGAGAAACCATGGGATAAATATTTAAAATCATATGTTACTGCAATAGTCAATTAGATGCCAGGGTCACATTGCTGGGTTAGGTTCTGGTAGATAAAAAGAGATAATTCTTGACTTATATTCTTCCAGAGACTAGAGGAAAGAGTGTTTAACTAGGTTTAGAAGACTAGTATAATCTTGACATCTAAACTGACAACCATGGCACCAGAAAAGAAAATTATAGGCCAATTTTAATCAAAAACATACATGTAAAATTTCTAAAAATAACATTAATAACTTGAATTCAGTAGTCTATTTTTTAGTAAAAACTGCTGATCAAATATAGCTTATTCCAGAAATTCAAAACTGTCAACATCAATCTATCAGTAAAATTTGTATTAATAGATTAGAAGAGTAAAAACATATAATCATCCCAACAACTGCAGAAAAAGGAGCATTATTTAAAGTTCAAAATAAATAATAATTTTTTTTTTTTTTTAGCAAACTCTTAATCCAATGAATGGTATCTGCCCAAAGCCTATAGCAATATAGATACCTATGAAATTTTTAAAAAATGTTCTCATTTAAGTCAGGATATCCACTATTCAGCATTGTACTGATAATCATAATGCAGTAAGACAAAATAAAACAAGATGTAAGGCTTGGAATTGCTAACAGAAAATTTCGTTTTTAGAGATTATATAAAAGATCATATCGACTCTAGTCTTATGACTTACTACAACTATGTGTTTGAAGATTAATCTGCTTGAGTGTCATAAACTTACTTTAAACTATAATATATACCTTTAACAATGTTCCCAATTTTAAGAGAAACCCATTCCTTTTATCAGCTGAGTTTGAGATAGAAGGGATGTCACAGGGAATCATTCACAGGGAATGTCACAGGGAAGGTGGTTGGTAAAATCAACTATGACAGATAGTGTCAGAGTGTTTAAAGGAACAAACGGCCCTTTAAAAACAAATATGCTACATATTAAGTTATTTTTTTTTTTCATTGAGAACTCACTTAATCCCATACAAATCATAAACATACTAAGGCTGAGTTAAAGAACAAAACAGTCATTAGTATAGGGAAAGAACAAATGGTGTAGTTGATGATTTCAAATGCCAAAAACTCAAGGTACTACGGGGTAATAGATGCTTTACATACGGAGGGTGTTGACGTGGCATTGCACTCCGGAGTATCTAGGTGTCACATTTTATTAGGAAGACTTGTGGAAGGGCGGGGCGGGGGAGGGGCGAGGGAGGAGGGGCGGGCGGGGCGGGGGAGGAGGAGGGGGCGGGGGGAGATCTGAAGCACAGAGCATAGCGGAGCAGCAGGCACAGAGAGAAGAGACCTTCTGCTGCACCACATGCGCTCTAGCTCCATGCCCCCTTCTGGGGGCTAACTCCCACGCTCCTTGCGGGTAGCCCCCTGGCCGGGGCTCGAACTCAGGCCGCAGCGGTGAGAGCGCTGAGCCTAACCCCTAGGCCATCCTGGAGGCCCCGCTAGGGGCTTAGTTAAATGGAGCCTTTAACCTTTATTAGGCGGCTTCAGGAGAACTACTGACAGCTGCTTCTCCAGCAAGTCAGAAGAGACTACGGCTGCCCTTCCCTTCCCTCAGTGATCATCACTGTCTCCTCCTAGGGCCCGTGGGCGCCGAGGGAAGATGGCTTTCAGCAGCACCTCCCTGTCTTCATCGGTGACAAGAGGGGGCAAAGTATGGGGATTTTTCAAGTCTAAAACAAGAATTTTTCATTGATGAATCAGAAGAAAAACCTACACAGTTCAGAAAGCAATCAGGATTGTACTGATGCTGAAAGATTTCCTTGGTGATGATCATGTGTAAAATCAATATTTAGAAGTTTCTAGACATTTAAGTATTCAGACTTCTGATGTCCTCATAGAATAATGAATGCTCTTAGCGAGCTGAAGAGACTCAAAAAAACAAAGCAAATAATCCAGTCACAAAATGGGCAGAAGAGCCAAAAAGAAACCTCTCCAAAGAGGAAATGCAAACGGCCAACAGGCACACGAAAAAATGTTCAACATCACCTGCAATCAGGGAAATGCAAACCAAAACTGCCATGAGACCCCATCTCACACCAGCGAGAATAGCACGCATCAAAAAAACTAGCAACAACAAATGTTGGCGAGGATGCGGAGAAAAAGGAACTCTCCCGCACTGCTGCTGGGAGTGCAAACCGGTCCAACCACCATGGAGAGCTGCGTGGAGATCTCCGGACCCACTAAACATAGAGCTTCCATAGGATCCAGCGATTCCACTCCTAGGTATCCACCCAAAGGACACAGAAACATCAACTCCAAAGAGCACCTGCACCCCTATGTTTACAGCAGCACCATTCACAAGAGCTAAGCCTTGGAAACAGCCCAAATGCCCAAAAATAGATGACTGGATCAAGAAGATGTGGCACATATATACCATGGAATATTACTCAGCATTCAAAAAAGATAAACTCATGCAGTTTGCAGCAACATGGATGGAGCTGGAAGGGATCATGCTCAGCGAAACAAGCCAGAAAGAAGATGAAAAACACTGGATGGTCTCACTCATAGCAGGAACCTAGAAACCAGCAAAGCACCTGTAGTCCATGACCTTAGTCTATCCTTTGCACTTGTTTTCTTCACGTTGTATAGAAGAAATGGATTAAGTAGAAGAAGCCATACATTTCTGGGCATTAAAGAATAGCTTGAGTGGTTGTTCAGAATCATCTTGGAAGGTGCAGTGATTTCTCTCTCCATATCCTCCAGATATTTCTTAGCTCATAAGTGTCTTCTAGTACCACCGTCTCTTCTCCCATCAGTATACATTCTGTTTGCCTTCCTTGCTCCTAGAAGCTGCCCAAGGACATATGACAATATTCTAAGATCTTTCCAGGCCCTCCATGGATGGCAGTGGTTTCATATCACGCTTAAAAAATCTCCTGAGGTTGTGACCAGAGATTCGTCCATTGTCGCTGCTCTCACAGACGCACGAGGGCTCGGGAGCGGCGCTGGCAGGGGCGCTGGGGTCCAGCACAGAGGACAGAGGCAGCTGCCGGGGTCCGGGAGTCTCCTGGCCAGAGTCGGCCACACACTGCCTCGGGGCACCCCGGCGCTCGTGGAGGCGCCGGAACTTTACATATTAAGTTTTATAATAAGCAGATTCTAGCTTTAAAATTAAGTCAGCAGTCTCTAGAACAAGCCAAAAAATATATTGGAAAGCTTTTTAAGTTCCTTAGAAAATAGATTTTTGAAGAAATCACTTCAATAAAATTAATAGCACTGTGTATGATTTAGGGGTACAGGTTCACACCACTTCAGTGTATGTTGCCACACACGTCCACTACCAGAGCACCCCAAATCCCTGACCATAGTCTATTGCCCACTCTCACGCTCCCCTTCTGGAATCCTCAATTCTGCAGTAAGATTTCTAGGTTTGTTCTGTCTCCTTTATCCATTCATCAGTCATTGGGCACTTAGGTTGTTTCCATAACTTGACTGTTATTGTAAATAGGCTGTATTAAATATAGGAGTGCATTGGTATCCTTTCAAACTAGTGTTGTTGATTCTTCAGGTAGAAATGCTGGTTTATATGGGACAGAGACCAGAGCAGTCTATCTTCTCACTCAGAATAAGCGTTCTTTTTCCTCTCCAACTTCAGCATGTGTTGTTTCTGGTCTTTTGATATGGGTGTTTCTCGTGGTTGTGAGGTGGTATTTCACTGTGGTTTAGGTTTGCATTTTCCTGATGAAAATGATGAAGTTTTATTTATGTCTCTATTGGCCAGTTGAATGTCTTCTTTAGAGAAGAGGCTATTCAGATATTCTGCCTGTTTTTTTTGTTAGGGTTATTTTCTTATGGTTCAGTTGTATAAATTCTTTGTAGATCTTGCTGTTAGCCTCTTTTCAGAGAGTGTGATATGAAAATATTTTCTCCCATTTAGTAGGGTAACTGATTCTAAAAACCTCATTCATATATGGGAATTTGGCATATATGACAGATGTGGGATTAGCAAGTAAGGAGTAAGTGAATTACTTAGTAAATGTAGTTAACACAATGGAATATACCAAATAAAGGACATATGCAGGTAACTTAAAATATGTAATTCAAGGCCATTAGCATACAACATGGCAGATTATTTTCAAGATCTTTGCTTGAAGATTAATTTTTTTAATATACTTTTTTTTAAGGACAGCTAAATTTGACCATAAAATTTAAAACTTCTCTTTGCCAAAAGATACTACAAAATTAATAAATGTGAGCATACCAAAATTGTTTAAAAAATAGGAAGAGTCCATGCTGATGGATTAGAAAAATTAACACTCTAAATGGCAAAATGTTACCTAAAACAATGCAATCCCTATCAATATTCCAATGGCATTTTTCATAAAAATAGAATAATAAAATTTATATAAAACCACAAAAGATCCTAAATAACCAAAGGAATCTTAAGGGAAAAAATGGAGATATCACACTCCCTGGGTTCAAATTACACTACAATGCTATAGTGACCAAAACAGTGTATGTAATATTGAAGTAAAAATAGATTTAGGATCAATGGATCATAATTGAGAGTCCCAAAATAAACCCAAACATATAATAATCTGTGACAAAGGAACAAAGGAGAAGGGAAGGCTCCTTTAATAAGCGGTGCTGGGTAAACTGGACAGCCACAAGCAAAAGAGTGCAATTGGATTACTCTCTAACTCAACATCATGGTTTTGATGTTTACTTGAATCATTTTAAATATACTGAAGCTTATTTAATGGTCTAGAATAGAGTCTGTTTTGGTAAATCTTCCATGTACATCTTTTTTTTTTTGATAGAGGCACAATTTATTTTTTAATTTTATATATTTTTTACATCTTTTTCATTTTTGCATAATGTATGCATTTTCATCTGGGTTATATTCCCTAAGCAATTCCCATCCCCCATAAGCAATTCCCATCCCCCTTATTTTGACCCTTAAATATTTATTTTTTATAC